ACACACGGCGCATGCAGCGATGCATAGTTCGAAGGAAAATTTACGGTGTTCTTTCCGGCGTATTTGTGTACGACGGAAATTACCATCGCACTTTACGGTGGATAAGACGCCGTAAATGTCCGACGCCAATTTTGCGCCGGAAATAATCCATTACTTATTTACGGCGAACCTACGATGGTTTATGTGCCGGTAGTTTCCGTCGGATCCATACGACGTAAACTACCGACGCCTTAGTCGTCGGAATTTTCGATTAAAAATCGTCATTTTTTAGCATATTTTGAGTCGGTAATGCGCCGAAAAGGGCGCCGAATGTTTTCCGGCGCATTATAAACGCCAGTAGACATTTATCGACGCGCGCCATACCGGTGTACCAAAATCCGACGAAAATGTGTCGGAAACCAAGGAATTCTGTCGGATTTTATGTGTTACCGGCGGATCTTGTCCGCCGGTAATAGCGTGTTTTCCTGTAGTGTGTGGCATGATATAAAGCCAGATTAGTTGCAAAGGGATTTAATCAAGAATACGGATTAGACTACATCGAGACATTTAGTCATGTTGCTAAAATGCCCACTATTCGGGTTCTTATTTCTCATAGCCTTGTACTATAAATGGGACATCCATCAACTATATATTTTCAATGCTTTTTTACAAAGTACTCTATCTGAAACTCTTTATATGGAACAACCTCCTGGATTTCAAGATTCACTTCATCCAAATTATGTTTGCAAATTGAATAAAGCTCTATATGGCCTAAAACAGTCTCCAAGAGAATAGTATGCCACACTATCAAATCATCTTCAAGCTTTCGGGTATAAAATCAGTTCAGTAGATTCTTCATTACTCACTTACAAAATTGATTCAATCCGTCTGTATATATTAATCTATGTCGATGATATTCTTGTGACAAAAACTTCATCAACTAAAATATCTCGCCTAATTTCTAGTCTCCAAGATCGATTCCAAATGTGTAATCTTGGATCCTAGTCCAATTTTTGTGAATTCAACTGACTATGGAGTATTTTTACATCAACAACACTATGTCAATCGCATTCTAGAACGAGCTGGAATGACAAATGCAAAATCGGTCTCTACACCAATATCCTGCAAGACAGTTCTCATCAATACCTCACATGATCATGATTTCTCTAATCTTCAATTATATCGTCATTTAATCGACTCATTACAGTATCTTACTTTGACTCATCCTAATATTCAATTTGATGTCCATAAGCTAAGTCAACATATGCATAAACCTCTTAACATCCACTTTGAAGCTTTTAAATGCTTACTCCGTTTCATAAAAGGTAATATTACTACCGGTCTACCTTTGCATAAAGATCATCTCACTCTACAAGGATTTGTGGAAGTTGATTGGGCTACAAATTCTCAAGATAGAAAATTAGTCTCAGACTGCAATTTTTTGGGAAAATCACTTATTTCTTGGCAAATTAAAAACCAAAATACATTAGCATGATCATCAACTGAAGCCAAATATAGAGCCTTAGCTGCCGAAGCCTCCGAGATCATCTGGCTATGGTGTTTATTGGAAGATTTTCATATTCCACAAATGACTCCTACCACAGTTTATTGTGATAACACTTCGGCAATTACTTTAGCAAATAATCCAATTTATCATATTAGGATGAAACACATCGACGTGGATTGCCATTTTATTCGTCATTGTATTCATGCCAAGCATCTTCAAGTTCATTATATTTATACAAATGATCAAATTGCCGATTTGTTCACCAAGCCGCTGCATATACTTAGATTTAAATTCCTCTCTAGCAAATTGATTGCTGCTCCTCCATCATCCGTTTGAGGGGGGTTGTAAGCAAGAAATGTTTTGTACTTTCTTGCGACGTGTTTTCTCCTCAGCCACACTTTTGTAACCATCATCTTGTATCATTTTCTATATATAGTAGCTATTGCAATAAGGTTTGATAAGCTTCTCAATATTAATTAGCTACCTAACAAAGCATAGGTAAACATTAGGCCAATAGAATAGCTCTTTAGGACGTAGTTTCCTGGAGATGTAATAAGGAAATAGGTTAGGGATAAGCCTAAAATGATTTGAACCGGAAAAAGCACAGAACAATCTCACAAAATTTTATTTACTCGAGTGCTCAAAAATGGTCACAAACTAACGAAAAACATTCTGCACAATTTGGAGATCACTGGTTAGGTAGATTTGAAGATTTCTCTCCTCAACTATTTTCCAAAAGAAATGAAGAATTTTTGGAGAAGATGAAGCGCAAGGAAGAATAATGTTGACATCACCATACCCTTTTTATTTAATAGTCCAAACTCTTAATTGTCAAGATATTATCATAAGGCTGCTCCCATAAAAGCATGTTTACCTTTGAAGTTTTTAATAATATAATAACTCACATATGAAAACACATAGTTTTGAAGTTTCCAATAAAATTATAATCATAAAATTAAAAGACGCCTAAATATATAAGAGTCTAATTTTATTCTAACTCATATTATATTACTATCATAGGAGACATTTCTTATAGTCCAAATCTTTTACCTTATTATTCATATTCTTTAAAATTATGAGAAAGAGTGATTCTTTTAAATCTTTATTTATTATTATTAAAATTATTTCAATTAAATAAATTCTTAGAATTTTTCCCTTTTGAGTTTTCGTGGGCCCATTAATCATGTCACTTGTTCATTGCAATTATTTTGATTGTATGTAAAATTTTAGTATAAAATTATGATAATTATGAACATTCTATTATATAAATGTTTTAATATGCTAAAATTATATATGATATATCATCAAAAAATTATCTTGGTCGGGCACAATCTTGAGGCAAAATTGAGTTGTGAGCTTCCAAAATTAAATCTTGGACCATTCAAACTCCGATTTTAGCAAACTTATAGTAGAACTGAACATCTCGAAAATATAAATACAACAACACCAAATTCGACTCAATTGAAGCTCAAATGAGTCCAAATCAAATACCCGAAGCTCATTTGAAAGGTTCAATCTATAATTTAAATTATCAAACAATTTTCAAACATGACATGCTTATAGTCAAATCAAGTGGCTCGACGAGACAAATCCAACGAGCACAAGGTCACAAAATTATGATATCATTAAGAAATTCAAATGCCCCATAAATGATCCATAATCAAGGGATTCAATATCGGTCGTCAATTCAACCACTTCCAATTTACCATCGATCATCCCAATATTTACAAGTCATGCAAATCTCAAAAAACTATAAAAAATCTCATTCTTCACATAAGGGGAATGATAAAAGGAGGAGAAGGGAAGAATTTGGGAGCTTGCCTATCGCCGACCACCACCGGTGTTATTCGCGACCATCGCTAAAGTTCATCCCAACCACTGTCAGACTTTCGCCAATCCGTCGACCACTGTTGGAGTTCTTCACGACCACCGCCGGACTTTCATCGATCCATCTAACCACCGTCACCAACTGCGGTCCTTCTAACCACCATTGCCCTTCGCCTACAGTCCTTCTGACCTCCGTTGTTGGTCGACTACTGTCTTTCTGATCACCGTCGCACCGACTATAGTCTTTTCGACCATTCGGGAGCTTGCCTATTGCCGACCACCACCGGTGTTATTCGCGACCATCGCTAAGTTCATCCCAACCACTGTCAGACTTTCGCCAATCCGTCGACCACTGTTGGAGTTCTTCACGACCACCGCCGTACTTTCACCGGTCTGCTAACCTCCGCCGGACTTTCATCGGTCCGCCGACCACCGCCAAAATTCTTTTCGACCACCGTCGGACTTCCTTCAGTCCGCCGACCATCGCAAAAGTTCTTCACAACCACCGTCAGACTTTCACCGTCGAAGTTCTTCCCGACCACCGTCAGACTTCCAACAGTCCGCCGACCACCGCTGGAGTTCTTCACGACCACCGCCGGACTTTCATCGATCCATCTAACCACCGTCACCAACTGCGGTCCTTCTAACCACCATTGCCCTTCGCCTACAGTCCTTCTGACCTCCGTTGTTGGTCGACTACTGTCTTTCTGATCACCGTCGCACCGACTATAGTCTTTTCGACCGCCATCGTCAACTTTGATCCTCTTGACCTCTGTCGCCCGTTGACTATAGTCCTTTTGACCATTGTCACGTGCCAATTACGATCCTTCTAACCACCGTCGCCTGCCGACTACGATCCTTTCGACCGTCGTCGCCCAATAATGATCCTCCTAACCTCTGTCACCTGATTATGGTCTTTATGACCAATGTCATCCAAGTAAGGTCCTTCCGACCTACATCCCTCACTGACTATGCTATTACTGTCCAAATGAACATATCAACACTAATTCTTCTAACTCCCAACATATAATGCACTTTGTATGATGTATATTTGATATATCGAGCCAAGGACTTCCTCTTAAGGAAGGGTTTCATTTGTAATCAATTGCAAAACATTAGTGGATCTATTCAAATTGGATCAAGTCCTGTGATTTTTCTTCTTTTCAGAAGTTTCCATGAAAAAATTCTGGTGTCTCTTATAAACGGTCAACTTACTTATTTACATATTTATGTATTGGATCTTCATACAAAGCTAAAACGTTAAAATTTATATTTCTCTACCGCCATAAGTATTTTCAAATCTATTAGAAATAAATTTATTTATTTTAGGCTGACAGAGTCAATAGCATCGCTATCTGCAGCTTCGCTTGTTGGGGTAGAATTAGAAACTGTGCATCGGTGCAAACATCTCAGTACAATGAATTTGGCGGAGAAAAAAACAAAATATAGAAAAATAAGAGATTTTTTAGAGCTAGAAGGAAGTTGATTGGATACACTGAATTTGGCAATTGGGGGGCTGAGAACCGGAAAACTATGATGGAAAAGGGCAAGGTACCTTGCATCTGTACCCTCACCCACTACACTTTGCATTTTTCAAATTACAATTTGTAAATATAAAAATTACATATCTCCCATGCGGCCCCCAGTTCTTTCCCCCCTTTGCTCTTCTCCTCTTCTTTCTTTCTTTCGTAGCTGTAGTTGCTGTAAATAAAGCCAAACGAGCCGCTCCGCATGGGCTCCAGTCTCTCTCTCTCTCTCCTTCTCCTTCTCCTTCTCCTTCTCCTTCTGTCCGACCTTAATATACCCTTCTCCTTTTTGCCCTATTTTGTATTGGGGTTTTAGATCGAATTAGTAAGAGGGGCGTTTTACACTTCTGATTATCAGATTTGCTTCATTCTCCAGGCTGAATCCGTGATCTTCGGTTTCATTTTTGTGGTGGTGATTCTGTTTATTTGCGCCTGCGTTACAAGTGCTCCAGCTTCTTTGGTCTCCGTTGAGGGATTGGTCTTACTTGTCCTGCATCCATGCCTGCGCTTCTCAATTTGAATGGTACCGATTGTTCCTATTCTTCTTTCTCTTTTATTCTTTGTTTAGGTCTTTTATTTTTGCAGTTTTTATGTCTTTTAACTTTCTATTAAGATCTGCGATTTTATTTTTACTAGTTCTTATGTAATTTACATCCGATCGGATCGGCTGACTTTAATTCCTTGTTTTTGGCTTCTGCTTTTACCACTTTTTCTTCTATTGATCTTTAAAAGTTTTGAGCAAAAACTTTCTTGTCGTCCCTCCTGTTGATCTTGAGGCTCCGTTTCTTTGACTGGAATTTTTTGAAGATTTGAATTGAATATTGTTCGAAAACTTCACAATGATGATCACGGATCTTAGACTTAGACCTAAGGTAGACAAACGGGAGACAAACATGAATTTCATCCTAATAAATCATCGATCGTTGTTATCGTTGTCAATTGTTTGCGTTTTACCGCTGCTTTTGTCTAAAATTGTTGTTGATGGAATTTGAATTCTTGTGGCCTCGCTGTTCTGTTCAATAGTCTTCCCCTCTTCCTTTTAGTTTGGCTCAGCAGTAAAAATTTATTTTTCAATGGAGCTGCTTGTATTTGGGGGTTTTTTATGCTTCCCTGGCTCTCTTTTTGTTTGTAAGCTTGACTAAATTTGCATGATGGTTTCCCGAACTACTAATATTTTGCCGTTCTATGCTGTTTGACCTTCTCCTGTCGCTTTATTTTATCTAGACTAGGCTAAATTTCAGAGGGTTTGAATTGATTTGATTTTATTGTGTGCTTCAGCAGTATTAGGAGATGATGAAATCCGACTCAGAGAATCGCCTTATGAGAATTGCATCGAATCAAGCTGCCTTCTACCTTTTGCGCCAGGCAGTGATATTTACTATCGTCCTTGCAAGAGGTTGCGAGTCACTGCCCCTTTTATCATCACCAGGGAAGAGAGGAAAGTTGCTTCTGTCTTTAAAAAGAAGCAGTTACCACGCTCCATGGATTCTCTCCCGGATGAATGTCTATTTGAGATCCTCAGAAGGCTTCCTCGATTCCAGGACAGGAGCATTGCTTCATGTGTATCCAAGCGATGGCTCATGCTTCTGAGCAGTATTCAAACTTCAGAAGTTGTGGACGAGCAACATAAGAGGAGTGAATTATTGAGATCCTCTATGAGTCCTCTTCCGGATCTCAACCAAGCTATTCCTTTTGAGTTAGAGATAGACTCTAATATTGAGAGTGGTGGATATCTTACCAGGTCCTTGGATGTTGATGAAGCAACCGATACCAGACTAGCTGCCATTGCCATTAGTGCTGCTGGTCATGGGGGGCTTGGCAAGCTGAATATTAGAGGATGCAATTCAACTTGCAAGGCCACTGATGTTGGGCTTTCAGCCATTGGACGACTTTGCCCTTCACTGCATTCTCTGACCATGTGGAAAGTTCCGCTGGTTAGCGATGCAGGGCTTGCGGCTGTAGCAGATGGATGCCCTATGCTAGAGAATCTTGATCTTTCTCAGTGCCCCAGGCTCTCAGACAATGGTTTGATAGCAATTGCACAGAAGTGCCCAAATTTAAAATCTATTAAACTCGATTCTTGCTCGGGAATCGGCAATGATGGTCTTCAGGCTATTGGTCGCTACTGCCAGAAGCTGGTTTCTGCTTCAATCAAAGACTGCCCCCTCGTGGGTGATAAAGGAATCTCAGGCTTGGTGGCTGCTGCATCTTCTTCGCTGATGAAGATAAAGCTTCAGAATTTAAATATCAATGATGTGTCCCTTGGTGTCATTGGGCATTATGGAAAAGCTTTAACTGACATACATCTTATAGCGCTTGAGAATATCTCTGAGAGGGGATTCTGGGTTATGGGAAATGCTCTTAACATGGTAAGCTTGACTTCCATCACAATTTCCTGCTGCCCTGGCATTACAGATTTGGGCTTGGAAGCTATAGCCAAGTGCTGCCCGCAGCTCAAACATCTGTACCTCCAAAGATCCTGCAACATTACTGATACCGGGCTTAAAGGTTTCACCAGATCTACGAGTATTCTTGAAAGTCTAAAACTAGAGGATTGCAGTATGATCACCCTTCATGGCATTCTCGACGGCCTTCTTAACTGCAGTGCAAGGTTCAGGAGTTTAGCCTTGATAAAGTGCACGGGGATCAGGGACATTACTTACTACCCGAATGAACTACCGACATGCTTGTCACTTCGGTTCCTAACAATACGAGATTGCCCTGGTTTCACCAGCAGTAGTTTAGCTGTGGTTAGTAAGCTGTGCCCCAACTTACAACAAATTGACTTGACCGGCCTTGTTGGTGTGACAGATGCTGGCTTTCTTCCTCTGGTAAAGAGCTCTGAATCTCGGCTTGTTAAGGTGACCCTTGAAGGTTGCGTGAATATCTCTGATGCCAGTATTGCTGCTTTGGTGAAGGCACATGGAAGTTCGTTAAAGATGCTTCACGTTGATGGATGCAACAAGGTCAGTGACAAAAGCCTCTTGGCTATTGTGGCAAACTGTTCAGTTCTTGAAGATCTCGACATCTCAAGGTGCAATGTCAGCGACATTGGGGTTGCTGCGCTTTCCTCTGCTGAGAAGCTTAAACTGCGGGTCCTCTCTCTTGCTGGCTGCTATGGAGTGACAAAGAGGAGTCTTCAGTTCTTGGGAAAAATGAAAAACTCCTTGGAAGGGCTAAATCTTCAGCAGTGTAAGCTCAGCAATGCCCATGGGATTGGCCTGCTTGAGGAGAAGCTTTGGTGGTGTGACATCCTTTCCTAATCAATGTTTTGAAGCAGAGCAAGAAAGTACTAGATTAATTAATAGAATAAAAAAAAAAGAAAGGGAAAGTCATGGTCAGCAGTGAAAGCTAGTTCTTCAATTAGTTTTTTGGCTCTTCGCCGTTATCAGTGTGAGCTTCTTCATCATCGCAATCCTTTCTTCCCAGGTGAGGTCATTCAGTTTGGAAGGAACTGTAGGCCATTAACTTGTTTTTTCAGACTCCTAGGAGGGAGATCTGTTCCGGGGTTTTTAGCTGCCATCATTTGGTGTTTTCTTACCTCGCTTGGCTTCGGTTCCCTAAGATCAGAGTGCCTTACCTGCTTATAATAGTGGCTTGTGATAATTCTTCATTATTGGGTTTTTGATAGGGTCTTGGTTATGCATTGTTGGAGCTGCGGGCGGGCCTCATAAGCCTTTCTTTTGCTTGCTCTGGTGTTTCAACCATGTCTCGTATTCTCCATATTGGTCTTGTAACATTCGTCAGGTTATATATATATAGTGTCTGTCATTCAGTTTGGTCGCTTGCGGCAGTTTTATTTCTATGCCTGAGTTCTGCAGGATCTTGGTTGTAGCAGCTCATTCCAGTGTTGTCTTGACGGGCCATCTTTTGGCCCGTTTTTTTAACCAAGACCTGCTTTTACAGGCTAATATATTGAATTGTAGTCTGCGGCTTTTGCTTTAAACTTGTTATGAATAAATTTTACCTTATTGTCGAATGTTTTCTTTGCAGTTTTTTATTCTTAGTTATTAGCTAAGAATTGTTTCTGCCGCTGTGTTTGTTTGTTTGTTCATGGATGCTTCGGATTGATCATTGGTCGCACGTTTAACAGATTGCGAATTCTGACTTTTAGCCACCGCGTTTTGTTGCGGTGAACAAATACTAAAGGATATCTGAGAATATAAAGGAACTTTTGACTTTATCTGTCTGCCTGAGGATGGAGGAATATGATTCTCAGGCAAATATATGAAAACTCGTATGGAACAAAATATCCTCTTTTATATTCATCTCTCTCTATGTAGAAGGAAATTTATATATTGATAAAGTATTTTTATAAGCAAATCAAATATCAACATTCTTATGTTATATGGAAGATATTGAAAAAAAAAAAAACAAGTTGGTTAAGAAATCAGGCAAAGAATTATGATACATCTATTATTCTTTAGAGAGATGATCATAGAGCTTGCGGGAAAAAAATGATAAATTCATGTATGTTCAAGATAATGAATATGACATCATAACAATTGTACAGTGGATGTAAGATAAAATGTTCACCAGTATGCTCAACTATGATTTATTGGACATATGATCAAATATAAGCCCGTAGCCTCTAATCATATCATGAAGCAAAAGACTATCTTATTAGACACGAAGGAAGACTAACACATTTATTTGTCCTACATGAAGGCTAGTTGGTGTCATAAGTGAGTTATCAACCATGTGAGAGGGTCCGCTGATTAGTAAATATCACATAATGATATTAGGTTTCTAGAATGAGAAAGTCTCGTTTCTAGAGTGAGAAAGTCTCATTTCTAGAGAGAAAGTTTCCCTTTTTTTAATTTTTTTGTTTGTTTCCGCCTATTTGGCGGATTTTTTGGTCATGGCTGCTACTGCTGCGGCAAGGGCGACCACCTCTGGTCTTTGGAATCCGAACGGACTTCTATTGTCTTCTTCAAGGACATTAGGTGGTTTTAATTCTAGGCAAGATGGTGTTCCCCTGGTGATAAGAGAACCTTCTTCGGTTCCATTGAAGGTCACTTCACCTATAGTTGGCAAAGGTAAAGGCATTGAAGTTAATAATGGTCTGACTTTTAAATCACCTCGTTCTGCTGGGAAAAAGTTAGTTGTGGATAGACCTAATGATTTTGTAGCCTCTTCTTCTTCGGTTATGAAGATTTTTGTGAATATGTTTGACTGTTTGAATGACAAATCGGATATGATGTCCAAAGAAGAATTTTCTTTAAAGATTGACAGTGATAAGTTTTCAGGTACTTGTACTAATGCTTTTGCGGGGAATTTGGATTTGAATTTGGAAAACAAAGTTGTGGGTGATAATGGTGTAGATGGTGGAATTGGTGAGCTGGTGGTTAAACCTCCTATGAATTCCTTGGATAAGCGCCCGAACATTAAAATTAATTTTTCTAACGATGAATCCTTCCTTAATGAAGATGGAATGGGAGTCAAATTGCATGAACCTATTGTAAAATCTAATTCAAAAAAACTACAGTTTTTTGTAGTTGTTAAATTAAGTTTTTGGAAAGAATATCTCTGTTCAAGTGATTGCTGATGAGCTGCATCGTCAAAGGATGCAATTTGGAAAATTCCACCTCATTATTCATGGAGCAGATTGGGTTTTATGCTCGTTCTTTTTGGTTGAAGCTATGAAGAATGTTTTATCAAGTGGCCCTTAGTATGTTATTGGCCATATTGTAGGCATTGATAAGTGGAATCCAAAATTTTCACCTACTTCATTGAAAGGCTTATCTTCCCCAACCTGGATAAGGATGACGAATCTCCCATTGCAATGCTCATATGAGATTAATGCACAAGGATTGCTTCTTTAGTAGGAACGCCCCTTTTGATATATGGTAATATGTTTCAATGGAGAATAAGAGAGTATGCAAGAGTTTTTGTTTGGGTTTTCCTAGACAAACAACTTCCTTTGGGTGTGGGTGTTTGGGTACAAGATTCTTCAAGGTTGTTTTTTCAAAAAGTTGAATATGAAAAAATTTCTATATTTTATTTTAAATGTGGAAAAATTGGTCATCTGCTTAATGAATGTAATTTGAATGAGAAAGATGTTAGTGATAGTGAAGGTTGTAAATGTAAAGTGGAAGTTTGAACTTTGGGTAATTCCTTGTATGAGGGAATGGAGCCTGGATCTTCCTATAGTCCTTAGGTACATGTGAATTATAGTAGAAGAAAGAAGTTTGAAGCTGCTATTAATAGAGGAAGTCAAAATAGTGGTGGGGAAAACAAAAATAAGAATGTTTCAAAAGCTGTGTTAAATCACAGCAGGTTGGATATCCTTCTTATAGCTCAGAGGTGAACAAGAAGCAGCTAGTTACTGAAACTATTAATCTTGGTCTGCCTGTGGTCTTCGAAGGTGAAGCTTTAGAAAGAGATGTTGAGGGTGAAGATGTTGGTGCTAGAGATGTATTGAAATCAAAGGACCCAGCTCCTAGAAATTCTGAAGAAATTGCTACTAATTCATATCTGGAAGCTAGTTTGAATCTTATTCCTTGTTCTAAAATTTTTTTTAATGTGCTGAGTGGAAACTCCTATGGAATTGTTGATATGGGACGAGATTGGAAAGGTCAATCGGGTTTGGAGTACAACCTTGATAATAAGATCAATCAGCTGAATCAAGAAGGAATCGCTAGTGAGGTAAATTTTGCTGGTGTTAAAATAAAACTTTAGAAGGAACTAAGGAGATGAAGATGTTTATGAATAACAATGATTTCCATGATGTAAATCTTATGGGTCCTAAATTTACATGGTGTAATAATAAAAGTGAAAATTCTCGTATTTTGGAGAGGCTTGACTGATGCTTAGTTAATTCCAAAGTCTTAAATGCCATTCATCTTCCTACTGTTAGGCATCTTCCGAGAGTGGCATCTGACCACTATCCAATTATTTTGGATGTTTTCTGCCATAAGAGAAGGATAAGTTTTGAAGATGTCTGGGCTTCCCATCATGCTTCTGCTAGAATTGTTGCTAAAACATGGAATAGCTCGATTAGATGTGATCCTGTCCATATTCTGAATTTGAAGTTTAGGAGAAGTTTTAGAGCATTATTTTTTTGGAAAAAGGCTAAGCTCCAAAATCTTTCTATTTTGAAAGAGTCTTTGAAGAATGAGATTTTAAAACTGCAGTTGGAGGAAGCTAAAGGTTGGTTATCGAAGGAAAGGTTGTTGTTGTTGAGGGAAAGGATTCACGAATTAAATGTTACACTAGCTCGTTTGAGTACTTGGTGGAGACAAGGATCCAAAGCTAAGTAATTAGAAGAAGGAGATTATAATTCTAAGTTTTGCCACTCTTTTCCTAGTGCTAGAAGGAATTTTAATTAGATAAAGCAAACTAAGGATGGGAATGGAATTTTTGTTGAAGATCAAAGTTAATTGAAGAAATATTCTCTAATTTCATTAAAGATAAGTGGAGGTAAAGGAAGTGTATTCTTCAAGGATGTCGAAAGCTGTGGTCACTCTCAGAGATGTTGAAATCTCCTGTTGAACAAGGATTTTTTTCGAAAGAGGGTCTTTAATGGTTGTTGATCACCTTGGGAATAATATTTCTCCTAGCATCGACTGGATTACTTACTCTTTTATCAAGTTTTATTAGAGAATCCTTAAAGAAGATGTTTGGATGGCCATTAATTAGTTTTTTCATATTGTAAAACATCTCCTTCTTGGAAAGAAATGCTTATTGTTATGATTTCGAAAGTTATTAACCCAGCTCTTCCTTCTAACTATCGCCTAATTAGTCTTTGTTTGTCAATTTACAAATTTGTGGCTAAAATATTGCTAAATAGCCTTGCGAAGGTCATCCATAAAATCATTTCAGAGGAATGAGGGGCTGTAATCAAAGGCCGGTCTTTATCTGACCATGTTCTGTTGGCTCAGGGAGTGTTCAACAAGCATAGATTTTCTAAAGCTAAGAAAGGTTTGGTGGCTTTCAAGGTAGATATGGAGCAAGTGTATTACAGCATGGGTTGGTCTTCTTTAAGGCAAGTTCTGTAGTATTTAAATTTTCCTCTTAAGTTTTTTTAGCTCCTTTTGGAATGCGTGGTGGATCCTAAATTTTCATTATTGATTACTGACAATAATTCTAATTGGATTGCAGCAAGTAGTGGCTTTAGATCAGGGTGTCCCTTTTCTCCTTATTTATTCATTTTGTGTTCCTAGCTTTTGATGAATGCATTTATTCAATAGGATGTAATCCTGGAATTAAAATTTCTTCTAATGTCTTTATAAGGGAGAATGGGTCTTGTTAAATCAATTTTACTTTATATTCCCATATTTATGGCTATGCATTCTCTTGTTCCAATGGGAATTCTATATGAAAATTATAAAATGTGTAGACGTTTTATGTGTCATAAGAAGGATGACAAATTTGGTCTTCACTATGTTGCTTGGGATGTTCTTTGTAAACCAAAAAATAAAGGTGGTCGTGGGCTTTATTCAGCAAATTCAAAAGTAGGATCCATTCGTGCTAAATTTTCTTGGAATTTTATAGATAAACATAAAACTCTTCTTAACTGCAACTTGAATGCAAAGTATGGTAGTGATATTTGGAATGTTGAAAACAAGAGAGGAAGCTCAGCTACTTGAAAAATTATTGTGAATGGTCTTATATCCTTGCGTCAAATTATTAGATGGGGTTGCCAATGGAGAATCTATTAATACACTAAATGATGTTTGGATCCTTGATATGAGTGTGGTAAAATGGCTTACTTTCATTACTGATTTGGAAGAGGTGTGATATGGCCTTAATAATTTCATTTCTAATAGCTTGTGGAATGATGATCAGCTGGGGAAAATGTTTTGTTAGGATCTGATGGAATTAATTATTCAGATACCTATAAACTTTTCTTTGCTAAGTGATCGGATGGAGCTGAAGGCAAAAATGTCTAGGAAAACAATTGCTGGAATGGTTTCTGAAACTCTGATAGAGGATTCGGTAGAAGAGGATCATTGGAGCTGGATTAGAAATATGAGA